ACAAGTTTAACATCGGACCTAATTTCAGGAGATGGATTAAGATCCTCCATGAGAATGCAACTATGAGGGTGATGTTGAATGAAAATGTTTCCCCTCCCATATCCTTATAATGATCGGTCAGGCAAGGGGATCCCATCGCTCCATTACTTTTTGTAATCATCATTGAAGCTCTGGCAACCAACATTCGTCAACATAACGATATTAAGAGAATCCGTGTTACTTTTATTGCTGAGGATGCTATACCAGTTTGCTCTTTGTTTGCAGATGACCTATCCTTAATGGTTGATGCATCCCAATAAAATTTGGAAGTCGTTCAAAGCGTGATGGATAAATTTTATAAACTCTCCGATATGAGAATTAACTAGGGAAACAAAACGTTGGATTGGTGGCTCCACTATCAAGGAGGAAGACCACCGGATAGACCCCGGGTAAAATGGATTCCCCTCGAATCCCCAATAAGGGTCTTGGGGATTTTCCTTTCTGCCCAGGGCAAACCAACCACCAACAACGCGGTGATCATGGAACAAGCGCTTTCTAAATTGGAATTGTGGAAGGATAAATATGTATCTATATTTGGGAGAACACTTGCTATTAATAACGTGGTGCTGGCCTCTATCTGGTACAAATTTGCGATATGGGTCCTGGACAGACCTACCATTGAAACATTCCAACGACAACTTGTAACTTTTTCTGACATCGTAATCATGAATGTGAAAAGGTGATCAGTAGGGTGACATGGTTATCTATAATCCAACCCAAAGTTAAAGGTGAACTTGGGATCATTGATCCCACCACCCAAGCTATGGCTCTATCAATCCAGTGGATTAAGCGTCTTCTCTTCAACTCTCAGACCTCCTGGAGTAAGTTGGCTAGTGAACAAATCAGAAGACTAGCCCCCCCCACTTCAGAAGAAGTTGACCCACTCATATGACTGGAAAATAGATCTTGGTCACTTCCAAAAAAATCCTCCCTAGCGATCCTTATTCCTGATCCTTCAGATCGCCAAGCTGCTATGGCAGATTTAGTAAAGGATTCCTTCTTGATTGATCTATTGAAAATATGAAAAAAACTTCCCCTCCCATATAAAATGTTACCAGAAAGATGGGAAAAGGTATGTCAACAACCACTATTTAACAACACTTTGATCAGAGACTCTCAAGGCTGCACCCTCGAATGTGCAGTATCGCCTTGGAAAGGGTGGATAAAAAAATGAATTTGATTTTACTCGTATAAAGGATATATGGAGCATTGCTGACAAGGATTGGATTAGTCCACAAATTCTCTTACTTGAAGGTATATTAAGATATTGTCATATTCCAATAGAAGCCCTGGAAACGATAATTGATCTAATACCTTTGGATTGGATCAGAACACTTAAGAAATGGTCTTCCCTGTCCCCAAATGACTGGGTTTCTATTACGTTTCAGCCAGGGCTAGTAGGGAACATATTGGAAGTCCGTACTTCAGGAGATATTCAGATGACATTATTCGAGGTGGGGGAGGATGGGTTTCTCACACCAAGGCCTCAACAGCAGACAGGATGGTTTAAAAAGGATAATCTCTTCCGAATCGGGGTGCTTTTAGTCAACCAGAAATTGTTAGCCTATAAGTCGGACACCCCCATCTCTCATCTCCCCCTTGATCCAATTTGTTGGTCCTGGTCTTCATACAAATTATCAGGACCTGCCCATACCAGGACATTTCACACTCTATCGGTTAAATCCATCTATAGGATGCTTAGGTCTAAGGTGCATCTTAAGGATAAAGTTCAGAATCGTTGGATGAGTCATTTAAGGGTAGGAAAGGAAGAACTACGCTCAATTAAGTGGTTTAAGTTCACTAAAACAAAGTCTGTCAAAATTGTTTCTCTTCAATGACAAATTAATCATCGCTGTCTACCCACTAATGATTGGCTTATTGATAGAACTTCATTAGAACAGAAAGGAAGATCATTCCCCTGGTGTAAGTTCTGTAAATTTGCTTTTCCTTCCAAACCTGTTCCATAAACCTTAGAACACATCTTCTTGCAATTCCTAGGCTCGGTATGACTATGGCGTTGGTGGGATAGGATCTGGAATCATATTCGGAACATCCCTCACTTAGCCATGGAACTGGAAAACTCCATTGCTTGAAACATGGAACCCTCCACAAGCGGATACCTTCACACTTAATTTATTTAAGATTGGCAGGAGAGCGGTTATCTAGGCACTATGGGTTCACAAGTGTACCTATGAGATGGAAGGTGCTCGGATTGATGACCCTGAATTTACTAATACCATCAAACAACAAATCCAAGTTGAAATCACAACTAGATGGGAAACCCTGAAGGAAAAACTTCATTTTTTTTTCCTTGGAAAAAGACATCAAATAACACATTCAAACATTCAATCAAGACTGGCTTGGTGGGGAACAAGGAGGGAGGGTGGGGCGGGTGGACTGGGAAAGAAGGCTGGAAAATATTCGAGGAAAAGTCTCAAGGAATTATCGACTAACCTTTAATGATTGAAGTAATATTGATCCCAACATTCCAATGAGTCCACCTTCAGATTTCTCAGATCCCTTTCCCCCATCAGGTCTGCCATTGCTTCCAAGTTCATGGTATGCACTAGATGTCGTTTGAAATCCTACATTGTTCCTTCCTCCTCTCTGATCATGATCTATGTCATCTTCTTGATATAGTAGGATAGAATGTTAGATTATTTGCATATCTGGTGTCTGGACAAGGCAGCGAGACACACGATCCTTACCTGCTTGGTGAGTATGAATTTTCATACTATAGTAAGAGTACAGTTCAGAAAGACACTGGGTCCGGTTCCCAACAGGGAGAGGCTGTAAAGATTGGAAGTGTTAGGTGGACACGCATATTTGGCGCCCGTTCAGGGTGAAGAGGCGCAAGAGCCAAATCCTCTTATCTTTTCCTATTCCTATTTCTATGCTTACATCTGATCGTAAGGGACGTTGGGCCCGGTTCCCAGCACCTATGTGACACCCGCGGCCGCAGCCGATGAGGCCCAGTCTGTGGTCTGGTTTCTGAATATTCCCCCCCCCCAAAAAAAAAACGTAAAATATATATAGAGAGAGAGTTGCCAGGCCGAACGTACGGAGGCCCCTAAGCTGACCCCCGAACGTTCGGGCATTCGGGTCCCCGTAAGGGGCCCGAACTCGAAGGGGTTCGGACCCGCAAAAAAATATTTCGGTACCTAACAATTATTATTTTTTTCTGATTTTTTTTTGTAAGTTTTCTGTTATGTAATCTACCTGTCTCTTAATTTTGAAGTCATTCTGTGGAGCTAAAAAATAATGAAAAATCGGCAAAGATGGTGGTATCAAAACTTGCTTTCCCACTTACTAATTTATTTTTTTTCTCTTTTCACTTTTTGTTTTCCCTTTATTTCGGGAAAGGAAAGCAATCGAACTACACACCACAGTAACAGCACCACTCAAAATGCATGACAACATGGACTACAAAGCTGTAAAGTCGATACATCAATATTGCCGAAAAAATGACATGCTAACACTTGGTTGTTAACAATGCCTCCCTGAAACTAAGTGATGCACGAACCCGCGACAATTCGCAAGATACATCGTTCCCAACTAAGGACACGGTAGAGTCAGCGGACCGCAAGCAGTCCACTGCTACGCCGGGCTATAGTCGCGGCAAAGTCCTTTCGGACGAGGAGGTTCTATCACGCTGTCTACTCCCTAATTATAGCGAGACACAATGCCAAACGTCAAATTCCACGCCACAAACCGCCGCGCGAAAACAAACAAAGTCGAAGAAACAAGCTCAATCCTCCCGGGACACAGTCCGCGGGTCAGTTCCAGACGATTATAGATGGTCCTACTAACTACCTGAAAGTACAACTACCACAATATCCTCTGGAGAAGTTCCAGGAATGATCCTGACCCCAACAGGCCAATTCGAAAAGGACAAAAGGACAAAAAGTCAAAAGGACAAGAACAAGCTCAACACGAAAAAACCAACCAACAATCACGCTTGCGCCGAAAGGGAAAAACCCCGGTCCTCACAGAAAGTAAATCCAAGATTACCATAAGAACAACAAAACACCGAAATGTTTTTAGTTAATCAGTCTGCTATTTGTCAGCAAGACAGTCAGAAGCCTCCAAATCTGTCCCTTTCCTTTTGAAAAGCTTCGCAGCGCCCTCCCGAACAAGTCACTTGGGTAATTTCTCTTTCGCATTTCCATTCGGAACATAACAACAGTATCCACGAGCTCCAAGCAGTCACAAGAATTCTGCTCAATCCGATGCAATGTCCCAACAACTACTGCCATCTTCGTCCACTTGCAGGTCCACGATCCAAAATCTTGAATCGTGCGGAAGATGAGCTCATGGTTCTGTCTCAGACTATCCTCATTCTTTGATAGCTGAACAACCCCCAAAAAAGGAAAAGACTTCCGGATACTCAGTTTGCACCCCAAGAAAATCCATTCATCTTCCCCTTCGTCCGTTCGTTTCAAGGTAAGTGCCTTATCATAGCATTTTTCAAATCGCCTGATGATAGATAAGGCCCTTTCTTTTGACTCCTTTTTCCGAGGATTAAAGGCAGCAAAGACCGATACGTCATCAACAAAGCGCATTCCATCAAACAACCTCTTCTGCCTGCCCAAAGTCAAGAAAAAATCCCATTCGTTTTTCTCACACAAAAGGCAGGCCAATGGGGGACTCGAGCTTTTTCCCATTGGTATGCCGACAACTTGTTTCAGCAAGACGCCACTAGCTCTGGTAAAACAAAACCTAATTCAAAAGAAACAAATTCCCTTAGGTACGTAAACGAGATCAGCTAAAACCCTTGGATTCTCCCTGCATTGCTCATCTTCACACCTTTTCCCCTCCTCTTGACGAAAACTTCCCCAAATCCTTTCTCGCGAAACCACCAGAAAATCCAATCAATCGTCGCTTTGATAGATTCGTGAGGCAACTTGTTAAACATCTCTTTTACATCGTACGAGGCTCCCATCACTTTAACTTCCTTCCCCGTTTTCATCAACTTTTTGTTAATACTTGTCAGTTTGGACTTCATGTCCGAAACGACCCTCAGATTCAAGTGGCCTGACACTGGAAGAGAAAACATCAGACAGTTAACCGCTTGCGCCACCTTCTTACACGCCTTAATCGAAGGCTCGTCGAAGGTCGGACAGATCGGCCGGTACTTACGTGAATCCTTGTGCTTAGGAAGCGCCTAAGCGTCGCCAAATCTCCCTTTCTCATTCCATTCACCATGAACGTCCAGTGCCCGCTTCTTGTACTCTAGCTTTGCTTTCTCGAGTTCCACTCTCTCTTCCTCCCTACAGATCCGATAGCTTTCATTCTTGAAGAAGGTCTCGTTCATTCCTTTTGCGTACAAAAAAAGGCACTGTACTAGCGTATCACCGGGGTTCCTATCCAGTGGCGCTAAGACCAGCCCCTTCAATTCGTCCTTAATTCTTACCACTTCTTCCATGCCTCCTTCCGACCCGTCCTCAACATCCAATCTGGAGAAGCATGACCTCGCTTCCTCCCTTGTCACTTCAATCTTCCCACACGGTCTTCCATAGGCATCCTCCCAAAGACTGAAAGCTTCCATCACTTCCTCAATCAATCTCTTCTCTCTCGATTCCTCTTGTTGCTTAGGCACATTCTTCGCGTTCTTTACTATCGGCGAAATTCCGTTCAACTCCCCAATGCGGAAATGCACGTGCCCATCTCTTTTAGGATAGGCCAGTCCAGCACAAGTACAACTGGAAGCACCACTCAACGCAAAGCGTCGATGATTATGTAGAATGCTACCCACATTGGGGCACTTGGTCCACACAACCCGTGCGCGTTGTCTTACTATCTCCTTCATTGACTTGTCCAACTGCATACCCTCAACCTTTCTCCTTACTAGCCTCGCCACCTCGCTCTTCTTAATCCTGTCATCGAATCTAATCCTCGCAACTACCCTCTTTCGTACACTCACGCCATGCGCTTCCTTGATCGCCTGCGAGATCATCAGCCTAGCCTTGGCCCTGCTCCGGTTAGTAGTGAAAGCCTTAACTGCTCCGTAATACTTCAGCAGATCGGCCACACCCAGTCCTAACAACTTCTTCTTCTTCCAAGGAGACTTGAACATTCCTACTCTATCATCCCTTAGTTTCAAGGTCATCGGAGATGCTTCAGAGATGCGGCGCAAAGTAATCACGCCACCATCTTCAAAAAGACTCTTGCATTTTCTCAGAGGTCTAGTCCCCCAATCCCACTTCACTCTCGTCTCGCCAAACAATCTCCGCATCAATCTCCATCCGTCGGCCCAAACATCTCCATCCATACTCTCGATATTCACATCCTTATTCTTATTCTTTCTCCTCTTCTTGCTCATCCCTCGAAGAAACTCGACAATCTTCACTGTGTCATAGTTCGAGCCACTCGACTTGATCTCAATGATCTTACCACGTACTACATGCCTTACCTTCTTCTTACCATCTCCATCGCTGGACTGCTTCCGATACCGTTCTTTCTTCCCCGGTCTTTTCTTGTTCTTTTTGCCGCATCTTGCATTTCCTCCGGGTCTTGAATTCAAAGCGGGCGACCAAGTTCGGATCAAGGCTGATTCCACAGCTTCAAGATCCTTCCTATCCGTGCTCGTGAAAACTGGGATCGCTGCATACTTATGAACCCCGATCTTACCCATCCAGTTGTATACCTTCCTCTTCCTTCTTTTCCCACACCCTTTTCCACAGCTGTAGTGTTCCCTCCATCGTGACCACAAGTCCCGCTCAATAAACCCGATGTACACGTGCTTATACCAAGCTGACACAACTAGCAGGCCCGACTAGATCCAAGGTTCCGTTCTTCGATTCCTCCCTCCAGTACTCAACGAACTTCTCGCCCCATTTCAAATTTCTAGTCAAAGCAAGTCCAATCACGACCGCCCTGAATCTACTCTCTTCACACTTTTTCTTCCCTCCCTGTGCTAATCTGAGTTCGCTAATCCTACTTGCTTCTTCCCAGCAGAGATCAGGATCCCAGCGTCCTCACCCCGACGATTCCTCTGACGACGCACTTGAGTCATCTGGCGGAGTAGCCACCTCCTCCTTGGGTTTCATGACATCCCGGCCGTATCGAGTCCGAGTCTTCAGCGTAGGAGGCAGCGGTAAGTACAACATAGAATTCGTGAAAACCTAACAAAAAAAATTGTTAGGTATGCACGAAATTTTTTAAAGATTATGATAATACATTTTTTAGGTCTCCTACATGAACAACATTCTATGTGAAGTAAATTAACCGCAAAAAATAATATATATATATTTTTTTAAACCACTAGAAGTGGTGAGGAGAAAAGCAAGTTTTTTTACAAAAAATCACTACCTTGTAAAGCACCGTTTGTTCAAGAATCGAAATATCCCAATTTTTTGTTTATTTAAAAAAATCAAATTTATAGTTGTATAAGGTATGTAGCATGATGAACCTATTCCGAGGTTTCCCAAACATGCACATATATTCTCCTATTCACGAATACATTCTCTTGGATATGTTGAATTATGTTCTCTCATACGTGGACGAATATATTATTTTTTTGTATTTTTTTATTAAAATATTTTTCCATTTTTTAATTTTAAATCGTGGTTGGCTAAGAATTTGAAGATGTCTCCGAGGCAAAAGTTGTTTTAATTCTTTTCTTATATAACATATATTTTTTGACAAGGATTTTACAATAAACTTTAAAATGGATTATATTAATTTATAGTTCTATAAATTAGTTTTCACAGAACTTGGTTTTTACCAAACTGTTGAAAACGACTTATAATTCTATAAATGAGTATTCACTGAAACTGTTTTTTTTAACGTCTTTCAAGTTCGCCTTGCAGTCCTTAGAGATTGATTATTTGAGCTATGTTTTTTGTAAATCTACTGAAAACGACTTATAGTCCTATAACATGTTTTTTTATTGGAAAGGGTTCTCTTGCACATTTTGAGAATCACTAGACTTTTTGCCCATTTTTTTGCCTCCTTTCTCAGGAAACAATTAAAACACTTTCTTTAATGTGTCAAAAATAAGAGTTTGACTTTTACTTTTTCATTCTATAGAAAATGTTAGGTTTTGTGGTTTTGTTAGGTTTTCACGAATTCAGTGTTGTACGCAAGATCATACGCGACGGAGGATCTTCGGATCACTAGCCTCCTGATCGCGGCTTCGTGTTTCCCGTACGGAATCTTTTCATGACGGCAAACCTCCTTGAGCTCTTCAACGGTAAGCGCATCATAGAACTCTCGACAATCGGCCTCGTATTTCTCCTTTCCCCCTACTCTGCATGAGGCGCTAATGTGCTTGATTGTTAGATCTATCTTTCTTGGTACCCCCGATGGTCCGCACTCACCGTTCGATGTTGTCCTGAACTCTTCAATATCCCGCTTGGCTTCTTCGGATAGCCTAACGTTCGATCGCTTCTCTGGTGCCGCCATAGGAGGGCTATTTCCTATAGGCAAATCCGGCCCTCTCTTTCTCTTCTCCTTAATTTCTAATTCTGCCGCCCGAAGTCCTAGCACCCTTAATTCTTCGTCCTCGACATCCGTCCCTTCATCCTCTTGTTTAGCAATGGTTCTTCGTAGACGTTCATTCTCCTCCTCAACAGTTTCGCCAAACTCGTTAACCCTCGCAACTCTTTTTCCTCGCCGTACTTGACTTTCACGGTTTCCTTCCGGTTCTTTCATCAATTCGCCTTTGATGATTCTTAACAAACGCGCGCCCCGTTCAGCTTCTCTCTGCTGTCTCTCTTCCTCCCGCTGTAACCTCCTACGTTCTTTCACAGTTCTGGCTTCTTCCTCTCTTCGATTCTGCTCCTTCATCTCCTCTTTTTCCCGTCTGACCCTTCTCTCACGAGCCATCTCAGCGAAATATTCCCTCATCAGTACGTTCGTTTCCTAAGACTCGCTTCTTGTAGGCAGAGAGAGAGAGGAGGACAACAAACGAGGGGCTGTGACAAACTGTTTCGTATATATATATATATATATATATATATATATATATATATATATATATATATATATAT